TCTACAAGTTGTGCCTCCATCGCTTGTGTCCAGATCACACGCTGCACAGCCGTGCTGCACCGTGTTTTTCGCTGACATTTGTGTTTGCGCGTGCGCAGTGTGACAAACTACGGTGACACCCTCACGACTCTCAATCGATTGATGATCAGGAGCGGGTCGTGAGGTGTCAATCGCTTCTCGTTACCCCACATATACTACACGATGCACGACGCACGATGAAGGCCAAAATCGGGCCGATCGCCAAAACGGTCGCACGACTCAAAAATCGGCTCAAAATGGGCCAAAAATCGCACAGTGTGAGCCCAGCATTAGATGTGGGGACGATCCGGAGCTGTGGAAGCAAATTTATGCCAAAACTCAGGCGACAAAAACATAATCATTAACAAATAATTTCATGTCAAAGGTGTTTTAGATTTAATGATGTTTCACATTAACTGGTGTTCAAACAGATGTGTCGCAGATTCGCTTTTCCGGAGCCGCTACAGACAAAGCAGGAAATAAACACTGAAAAGGATGTCAGTGACAGTTAGTTCAAACCCAGTCTGTCATTGTTGTTGCTCTTGACCAAAAAAATATTTAACATGCCCTTAAGTTTATCTGGTAATAATCCCGTGCACGAGGCGACTGTGAAAACTGCAAACAAAACCAAACCGATGCTGTTCAGAATACCATGAAAGTTACCTTGTTGTTTTTGTTATCAGTTTCACCATATTTTATTACTCCCATGTGATTTCCTCGTTGTTGCCTGTCTGCACTCAAATGTGGTCCAGTCCACTAATGCCACCTGTGTCCAAGTGCCATAGCCTACAATCAGATTAACTTGTGATACATCTGCATCTGACTCTATCAACACATTGAGTAGAAGCTGATTGCACTCACACTTGAAGCATTTAAATCGACCCACAAACATCATTTTCAAAGATGGTTTGTTAAGACTGAAATCAGTCATTAAGCAAACAACAACAAGGATAATTTATTTCTGTTTATTTAAAATGTGTAACATCTGTAATCGCTTTCTGCACAGGGGAAGTCCACGTGGTTTCACTTTCCACAGCAGGTCCATTCAATCATTCCATTAAAAGACGGAACAAATGAAAAACTTCATAACGAGGATCAGGAAAGGAAGTGTGCCTCAGGACCTGGCAATTATAATTTGGCCAAAATACCTTCACCCATGAAATATAATTATTTGCTTGTATTCATTTTTTTCCTCGCATGCACGATGAGGCTAACTAATAATAAAAAAGGATTAATTAAAAAAGTTAGTATTTTAAAAAAGGCTTTACAGCCTAATGTCATTGAAATAAATTATTATAAACTGTGTTTAGAGCTGTAAGAACTTTGACCTCAGTATTTGAAACTTAGGTCATGTTTAACCTAAACATCCACCAGTGGAATTAATAAAATCAGTTTCTCTTCTTTCTCACTCAGGGTGCAGACATGTCTGCTGCCACCTGTCTTCTATCTGAAGATCAGTTTCTGTGCTCCATCTGTCTGGATGTCTTCACTGATCCAGTCTCCACACCATGTGGGCACAACTTCTGCAAAAACTGCATCAGTAAAAACTGGGATATCAGCTACAGGTGTCAGTGCCCCATGTGTAAAAAGGTGTTCAGGATGAGACCTGAGCTGCACATCAACACTTTCATCTCTGAGATGGTTTCTCAGTTCAGACATGAAGCTCAGCAGAAAGTCAGCAGCAGTAGCTCAGAGCAACAAGCTGCCAAACCAGGAGAAGTTCCCTGTGACATCTGCACTGGAACCAAACTGAAGGCCCTGAAGTCCTGTCTGGTGTGTCTGGTCTCCTACTGTCAGACTCACCTGGAGCCTCATCTGACAGCTTCACGGCTGAAAAGACATCAGCTGATTGATCCTGAGGAGAACCTGGAAAGCAGGATGTGTATGAAGCATGATAAACCTCTGGAGCTGTTCTGTAAGAACGATCAGACATGTGTCTGTATGCTCTGCTGTGTTTTTGACCACAAGACTCATGAGTTTGTTCCTCTGAGAGAAGAATATGAAGGAAAGAAGGCAGAGCTGGGGAAGACTGAGGCTGAAATTCAACAGATGATCCAGAAGACATGGCTGAAGATTCAGGGGATCAAAGAGTCAGTGAAGATGAGTAAAGATGCTGCAGACAGAAAGAAAGCAGAAGGTGTTCAGGTCTTCACTGCTCTGAAGGAGTCTGTTGACAGACGTCTGAACGAGCTCATAAAGGAGATAGAAGACAAACAGGAAACAACAGAGAAACAGGCTGAAGGTTTCATCAAAGATCTGGAACAGGAAATCTCTGAGCTGATGAAGAGAAGCTCTGAGGTGGAGCAGCTCTCACGCTCTAAAGATCACCTCCACCTCCTCCAAAGCTTCTCCTCTCTCAAAGCTGCTCTAACCACCAAAGACTGGAAAGAGGTCAGTATCCATCCACCATCATATGAGGGGACTGTGGTGAGAGCTGTGGATCAGCTGAAGGAAACACTCAATGAAGAGTTTGAAGACTTGTTTGAGGCTGAGCTGAAGAGGGTCCAGCAGTATGCAGTGGATGTGAGTCTTGATCCTGATACAGCACATCCTGAACTCGTTGTGTGTGACGATGGAAAACAAGTACAACGTAGTGACAATAGGAAGAAATGTCCACACAACCCAAAGAGATTTTCGAAGTTTGTTTGCGTTTTAGGAAAGCAGAGTTTCTCTTCAGGCAGATTTTACTTTGAGGTTCAGATTAAATACATGACCAAATGGATATTAGGAGTGGTCAGAGAGTCAGTCAACAGGAAGGAAGCCATCACACCGAGTCCTGATGAAGGTTACTGGACTGTAGCGGAACATAAAAACATTTGTGTAGCTCTTGATAAACCTCAAGTCTGTCTTTCTCTTCAGTCTGTTCCTGAGAAGGTGGGGGTGTTTGTGGATTATGAGGAGGGTCTGGTCTCCTTCCATAATGTAGATCATGCAACTCTTATCTACTCCTTTACTGGCTGCTCCTTTATGGAAAAACTCTGCCCACTCTTCTATCCCGGTGTTAATGATGATGGTAAAAACTCTGGACGTCTGATCATCTGTCCTGTGATGGTGGGTGATGGCATCAGTGATAATGATGAGGATGATGATAACTGATCATCAGTCAGTCAGTCTGATCTTTTTTCATGAAGAGATTGCATCAATTAAAGATTAATCGTAACATTAAACCAACACAGAGAAGAAGTCCTAAGAACAGAACTGAGCAACTCAAACCTGCTGATGAAAACCATGATATTCAGTCAGAACCGGCAGGTCAAGTCAGCACGCTGAACTTTAATTGATTTGTTTGTTTTACTGTTTTCAACCTGATAACAGTATAACCCATTTGTGTAATTTCAGTTTGAAAAAGACCTTTCCTTAATTTTCTTCCAGTGTTTTAAGGCACAGATGTTGTGAAATATCAAACAAAAGGATTCAGAAACTCTTCTGCTGTTTTAAGGTGTGCACTTAAATAAAAATAAAAAATAAAAATCTGAACTTTTGTTTTCTCCTTTCATGTTTTTTGATGATAATCAGCTGCTGAACTCTAGTCTTCTTCCCTGTAATGTGGCAGCAGCATATGAGGTGAACAGTTTGGGAACAGGTTCGTGTCTCTGTTCTCATGGAGAAAATGATCCATTTGAGGAAATTTCATTCTGAGAATGCCGAAACTCTCCTCTTCTTTCAGTTTTTACGAGTGCAAACATTCAAACATATACTGTTCACAAATATGAGTACAAATGTTAATATTTAATTATTTTCAGGCCTGCAGTCAAACAGATTCATGTCTTTGTTCTCCTCATCAAATTCCAAATCATCATTAATGAAGCAGATTTAAACGTTACATTTAAATGGGAAAAAATAGCTTCTAACTGTTAGTTCAGGTTTTATCAGGTGGCACCAACACATTCGTCTGAAACACATTGACGTGTTTATGATTTGTTCCTGTAAATCTGTATTTCTTATTGATGCTCAGATCAGACAAGCCCTACAGGACAGCTTTCTGTATTTCATCCAATATTTCAATAAAATTGATCTCTGTTCATTTTAAAGTGGTAATGTTTGGAAAGTTTGAGATATTTCCTAATGTTGATGAACAGTTTGAGTCTTGAAGACATAAAACTATTGTAGTTATAAACTGTAATGAATGTTTAATGGCAGCAGAATCAGATGTGTAAAAACTAAGATGTACTGTTCATCTGAAGATATCTCAGGCTGTTCTTCATCTGTTTTGTAAATAAGACTTTCTACTTTCTGCTCTGTTTCAAGGAAGATAAATAAAGACTCGTCTTTCACTTTGGGCTGCTGGTTTCAGATTTTTAAAATCTGCTACTGTGATGCTACTTTCCAGAAATCTGATTAGTGAGTTGGTCTGGTTTCTGCTCTGGAGCAGGTTAGGTCCACCGTATAGGGATTAAATCTGAATTTAGGGTAAATGGAGAAAAATCCCACACGTCTGACATGTTTTTACAATATTTTTTTATTAACTCCAGTTGCGATTTATTGTCAAGAAGTGTCAGTAAACTAATGAATGTACTAACCAATTAAAAATTAATTCAAGTCCAGTTTAGTTGACTGTCTTCATTAGAATAAATGTGTATTGAGTCTCAGTCACTGAATAAGGTGACTCCCTTTAACGTAAAAGCTTAATAAAGTTTAAAATGCAGAGGGAAGCCCGGTGTCGGCGTGCTGATGCCGCTCCCGATCGTTTTTTTCTGACCTGGTGAAAAACCAAAACGAATGACTCGAGACAGACTTCTTCAATTCAATCAACTTCTTTATTTCAACCCCTGCGCAGGAGGGAATCAGCTCAGCATAAAGCCTCTTGCAGATTCAAAGGGCAGTCCTTCTAACTGTTACATTTATATTATTCCAAAGTTCCTTATTTACCTCCCACCTTTCCTGTTATTCTGATATCACGTTCGCCTATACGACATACACAGTTTTGATCAAAACAACTTCTTCCTCATCTGTCGTCTTCTACCTTTCCTTTTAAGGTCTTGCATCTTTAACCCCTTTCTTAAATGCATGTCTTAATTGTTTATGTGTGTGTGTGATGTACATGTCTGATCTGCAATGTGTGTGTGTGTGTGTGTGTGGGTCATGTCAAGTGTCTTGAGTGTGCGCTTTGTAGGTGTTAAGTGTGTTGCGCCCGGGGTTTACGCTCTCCTCCTTAGTCCTGCTTTTCTAGTCTATACTTATCCAAAGTGTTAGACTGTTCTTAACGCTGCCCTTTGTCCCCCCCCCCCCTCCCGTTATCTACTGCAACTTCTGTACTATTTCTTAGTATCTCGCCTATGCATCTTTTTCCTGTGATGTTGTTTCAACTATTGTTGCTCCTAAGGTCACACAGGGGCCTGCTTAAAAGTATAATGTTTAAACAGCATAATGCTAAAAAGCTATATAATGCTATATAATTCCACACCGGCCTTCTCAGTTGTCAGACATTAGTCATCATTGATTCAATGAAGAACAATGAATTAGTTGCTGTAATTCTTTTCTGCTGTTGATGTTAACTCTTGTTTCTCACTGAAATTCTGACTGAAAAATATGAGTGAAACAGCGCCTCTCTAAATGCCATGTGGTGAAATAATTGATAATAATAATAAGAAGAAGTGGTGAAATGCAGTATTCTCTGAGAGTCTGAGTTTGTCTTAAAGATGTTTCAGCTGCTTTTAAATACTGTCAGAGATGTTCTGACACCCCGAAAGACAAAAACCAAACTAATAACTCTGTGAATCTGTAAATCTTTAATACTAAAATATTTCCACATGATGGGATTCACTTTCCTCTCCTTTCAGGTTTTATTCCAGCTGTTAAAACACATTTAAAATATTAACAGTAATCAATGAAGGAGATCCTGTGTCTTCAGTTCAAACCAAACATCTGGAGTCACAGCTGCATGATCTTCTTCTGCTTCTAATCAGGCTGATGGTCCATCTGCTTCTTTGATGTTTCAGCATCTGAGTCTTTTCCTTGTTGCTTCTTTTTCCTCCTTTTCTCGTCCTGAGTGGGCGTGGTATTGAGCAAAATAAATAAAAGAAAATAACAAAATAAAACTAGTACCGGTACCGAAAAAAAGAACATTTATTCATAACACACATGAAAAGACCAAGGAAAACTGAGTAAACGACAAAAACGATAACAAAATAACGCTGTAAACCAATAAAAGCCCTGAAAACTATACATTTCACACCTGAGCCTCAACTCTCGCGGCCCGGTACCAAACGACTCACGGACCGGTACCGGTCGGAGGCCCGAGTGTTGGGGACCGCTGATTAAGAGGGCCCGAGGGAAGCTCAGAAAGCTAAGCAGAAGTTATTTGGAGAGGGGAGTGACTGCTGTTGGTTGAAAAGAGAGGTAAAAAAACTTCAGTGGTGGGAAACATTATTGACGGAGTCAGACGTGGATCAAGTAGACATAGTGTGTAAACTTTGCTACAGTGTCGTAGCTGCACCACAGAGCAACACTGCAAAGTTCACTAAACATAGATGTTTACATTTTTCATTTATTTTTTATATTGCAAACATTTGCACTGTTATCAGTATTTGCACACTGTTTTATATTATTTTTTGACAATCTTTAAAGTCATTATTCAATACATTGTTATTGTTAAATAAATATCGTCAAATAATCGAGATCTCAATTTCAGTGAAAATAATCGTGATTATCATTTTTGCCATAATCGAGCAGCCCTACAACCAACTGCACTTCCGTATCCTGTCGACAACGCCACTTATGTAACCGAGGTGAAGGAGATTTTTGCACAAGTGTTACTAAAGGAGGGAAACCCTCCTCAAAAACAGACGGAGCAGTGGAACAGCCAAGGGAATGCCTCGAATTAAAAAACTGTATGACTACAATATAATTTATTATACTTAAACAGTTAAAAATATAAAATGAATTAAAACAACCCTGGCCAGGGAACAACACAATAAAAATCAATAAAACACAACATTAAACATCCAGTGGCGTCCGCCACAGAATAAAAGTCACTAAAAATTAGAAATGCAGGCAAGCGATGTGGAAGGGGGAAACCCGGCGGCGTCCTCGCCTTCCTGTCCGTGTTCTCCGCTCCGGTGTGCTGGAAAAAAAAAGGGCAGCAACAGTCACTACTCTTTTAGCGGCTACCGTTCATTAGAGTGGAATAAGTCAGGAGACTTACCCTGGGTGGGCAGAGCTCTTAACTCTGCCCACCGCTTCCTTGTAACATGCCAATCGGCACCGGCCCGTCTCGCCGCGGGAGGTAGAGCACTGTCTCGCCGCCTCTAGTTCCCCGCAGAAGCGTGATCTGGCCTCCAGTTACTCCAGCAGCCGGACCGCTCCCTCCGCTTCCCTGCTCGCTGGTGTCGACTCCTCGTTCACGGCCCACACCAGCCCTCCGGGCTTGCAGGCGCCGCAGCCTGACACCATTCACTCCACCACCGTGTTGCCTGTCTCTCAAGCCTCCCCTCAAGCCTCCTTCTCTGTGGTCTGCCAGGCCCTCTTATTGGCCTCTGGGACCTCCCAGGTGGGACCAGGTTCATAATCAGGTAGGGGTGGAGTCTTTCCAGGACAAGTCACCAATGAATACCATAAAAACCATGCAATAAAACCCATAAAAATAAAACACTGTACAATATTAAAATATTAAAAAAATAAAACACAGCAAAACATGCACAATAAAAACCCTAGGTAACTTGTCCATTTCCACCCCGTGACATGTACATGGTTTGTTGGCATTGCAGCTGCTGTGATGGGCTGATAGAGAGCAGACACACTCCAGAGTGAACATATCAGTCCTAACCTGACGTCATTCACAGTTCTTTTGTTCTTTGGTTTTGGGTGCATTTAAGAAATGACGCAGTGTATCCTAAATGTTGGACTGAGGTTCTAATTCACTTGCTGATTCCTAACATTAATTGCATGAAAATAAACCTGCTTGAACACATAAACTGTGGTATGCAACCAGCAGAGATGAACTGTTATAAAAACTGATATAAAAACAGCATAAACAGCTCTCTCAGTGTAGGACCGATGTAGAGGATAATGAAATATCTGCTCACATCTTGTCAATTCAACTGTGTACATCCACAAAGAGCAGTGGACCTCACAGCAGCAGCAGATCAGCTGATCACAGCCTTTACACTAAGAAAATACCATACCATCCATACCATACCAGCTTTATTTATAAAGCACTTTAACATAAAACCAGGGTTCACAAAGTGCTGTACATAGATGCTGGTGGTGGAGATGAGGATAGAGGCTTGGATGGAGCCTGAGTAACATGGAAGAGGCAGAGACGGGGATGTGGTGGGTTTCACGAAGGCCTATGCAAGGGAGGATGACAGATGAGCCGTAGTAAGTACTTTCTGGATGGGATCTGTGTTGACTAAGTCGATGTTGGTGGTCAGATCATTCTAGGACCAAACCAAGCAC